ATAGAAAAAATTAGCCGGGCATGGTGGCGCATGCCTGTAGTCCCAGCTACTCGGGAGGCTGAGGCAGAAGGATTGCTCGAGCCCAGGAGTTTGAGGTTACTGTGAGCTAGGCACTCTAGCCCGGGCAACAGAGTAAGACTCTGTCTCACACACACACAAAAATAATAATAGTTATAACACATAGGATAAAATAAATATCCATGAGCCCATACGGATATAAATAAATAATGGACTAAATAAAAAAAATGGGGGAGAAGAGACAGGTCTTCCTCAGAAGAATTCCAATTAATAAACACAAGGAATGAAGGAAAAAGAAAAGCACCATTAGGCAAACACCACAGTAATAAGCGTAGGCAAGGTCCAGCAGTGGATGCTAAAATCAGTAGGTGAAAATTGGAGGAGAAACAGGATATTTGCGTCTCCCCTAAGATATTTATTACAAGAGAAAAAAACAGCAACTTCACAGTGGAGAAAGCTGGCACACACCATCTTAATCTAATGAGACTGAGTGATATCCTGTAACTCCTAACATGACGCGCTGGGAAGGACACGGCATTACTTTTGGGAAATTCTTGCCAAAAATGTGTAATTGCAATCTTATTATGAAACATCAGACGAACCCAACTGAGTCATAATCTACACAACAGCTGTCCAGTAGTTTTCAAAAAGTCAAGGTCATGAAAGATAAGGAAAGACTGAGGAATTGTCACATCCTGACAGAGGCTAAAGAGACATGACAGCTAAATGCAATGCAAGATCTCGGATGGGATCCTGGAACGGAAAAAGGCCATTAGTGGAAAAACTGGTGAAATTTGAATTAGGCCTGTAGTTTAGTTAATTTCCTGGTTTTGTTCATTGTACTCTGGTTATGTAAGATGTTAACATTAGGGGAAGCAGGGTGATGGGTATATAGAAACTCTCTGCTCTATATTTTTTAATTGGCAAATGAAAAATTGTATGTATTTACCATGTACAACGTGATGTTTTGATATAGGTACACAACGTGGAATGATTAAATTAAGCAAATTAACATATTCTTCAAGTTACATTTTTTGTGACATGAACATTTATTTATTTATTTATTTTTCTTGAGACAGAATCTCGCTCTGTAGCCCTGGCTAGAGTGCAGTGCCATCAGCCTAGCTCACAGCAACTCAAACTCCTGGCTCAAAGGATTCTCCTGCCTCATCCTCCTGAGTAGCTGGGACTACAGATTCACACCACCACGCCTGGCTAATTTTTTCTACTTTTAGTAGAGACAGCATCTTGCACTTTCTCAGGCTGGTCTCAAACTCCTGAGCTTAAGCAATCCTCCTGCCTCAGCCTCCCAGAGTGCTAGGATTACAGGTATGAGCCGCCGCACCTGGCCGTGACAAGAACATTTAAAAATCTGCTCCTTAGCAAATTTTAAGAACTGTTTACAACACATCGTTATTAACTATAGTCATCATGATGTGCAATAGATCTCCAGAGCTTACTCCTCCTGTCTAGCCGAGACTTTGTATCCTTCAACCAACATCTCCGCATTCCCCATCCCCCCCACACTAACTGTGCAACTTGCCTCTAAATCTCAAATTCTTTCAAGATAAAAGGTTTTTAAAAATTAATTTGGGTGGACAAATCTGAGGGCCTCAGAGGAGGGAGAACAGCAAAGAGAATCGCATGGTAAAAGTACAACACAGAGGTGGCGGCGCCAGGGCCGAGGTGCGGGAAGAGCACAGTTCCGCCCACCAGGAGCGGAGGGACGCTCTGACGGCCAGGCCCAGTGCTTTGGTGCCCAGCTGGGCGGAGGCCGCGGTACCATGAGGCGCTGAAATTTGAGAGATTGTGGCATCTAAAACCTACAAGGTTAAAAAAAATGGAACTTTTGTAATAACAGTGATGTTCAGTCCGTTGATCTTCTTAGGACAACAATCACTAACTAATAAGGATGTGAAGTTGCCTAAGAAATCTCTAGCACGGCTCCCTGCTTACATAAATAGAACAGCTGGA